CATGTGCACAATTTAGTAAATCGAGGGAACGAAATAGTAATCGTGCACAATTTAGCAAATCGAGGGAACGAAATAGCAAATCGAGGGAACGAATTAACAAATCGAGGGAACGAATTAACAAATCGAGGGAACGAATTAACAAATCGAGGGAACGAATTAACAAATCGAGGGAACGAAATAGCAAATCGAGGGAACGGATTAACAAATCGAGGGAACGAATTAACAAATCGAGGGAACGCATTAACAAATCGAGGGAACGAATTAACAAATCGAGGGAACGAATTAACAAATCGAGGGAACGAAATAGTAATCGTGTGCACGTTTTAGTACATCGAGGGAACGAATTAGTAAATCGTGCGCACGATTTAGCAAATCGAGGGAACGGATTAACAAATCGAGGGAACGAATTAACAAATCGAGGGAACGAATTAGTAAATCGTGCGCACAATTTATTTTTTCTTGCATGTCATGTGCGGGACTCCGTAGATTTATTATCAGTGTTGAAAGAAGTTTTGCTGCTTAATATTTTTTGGGACCTGTGATACTTTTTTCAGGATTTTTGATAAATAAAAATTTAAAAAGAACCGTGTTTATTCAAAACAGAAATGTTGTGTTACAATATACACTACTATTCAAAAGGTTGGGGGGGGGTTCAGTAATTTTTCTTTCTAAATTTCTAAAGAATTTCTAAAGAAATTAATACTTTTATTCAGCACGGATGTATTAAGTGGATAAAAAGTGATAAGACTTAAATTGTTAGAAAAGATTTCGATTTTGAATAAATGCTGTTCTTTTTAACAATTATTCCTCAAAAGAATCCTGAATAAAAATCACAGGTTCCAAAAAATATTAAGCAGCACAACAGTTTCAACACTGATAATAAATCAGCATATTAGAATGATTTCTGAAAGATCATGAGACACTGAAGACTGAAATAATGGCTGATAAATTCAGAAGTATATTAAAATAGGAAACCAATATAAGAAATTGCACAATATTACAGTTTTTTTCTGTATTTTTGATCAAATAAATACAGCCTTGATGAGCATAAGCGTCTCCATTAAAAAACTTAAAAATCTTACTGATCCCATATTTTTGAACAGCACTGTATATAGATTTAGTTTCCGGGTACCAATCCATTAACTTTCCATTCTGGTCTTGGATGACACTATCTACTGTTACGTATGATGTGTTGATGTAATACGAATGAATTTGCTTGCTTTTGTGTTCTTATGACAAGTATAGTTAAATATCTTTTTATATTTATTTACTTTGTGAAATGATTTTATTCTACTCATAATTGGTAAACTATAGATCTAAGTTATGTGTAAATACTGTAAACATTTGTCTTCTTTTTTTGTGTAAGTACAATCTCTGTAGCATATAAATCTACTGGCTTTTTAATGTTAAGGGCTCTTTGCTCAGCAGCCTTAAACTTAATGTACTTCTGTCAGGGAAAAACAACTTGTAATTCTGGAAAATTAAGTTTTTTTTTTAATCCAGTAGCAATTTATATGTGGTTGTAAAATAACAGCCCTGTCCGAGGGCAGAATACTATCTCCAATGCCCTTTGGGGCTCCAGATTAATTTTTATATGTCTGTATAAGCTATTGGTCGAAATGTACATGAAATATAAAACATTCATAAAGCTAAAACTTTCAAGAGTGATTTTTTTCCCTCACACATCACAGCTATTTGATCCAACTTTGATCACACCTTGAACACACTTACTGCTTTTTTGAAATGGCTCTAAATCACATTCGGAGTATTAAATTGAAGTTTCAGTGTATTTAAGTGACATGAACAATGAAACGTTGGTAGAGTAAGTGGAGAATTAAGAAAAACAAGGCAAGTTTTGCAATATGTTTAGATTATATCCATTGCACTGTAAATGCAATCTTTCTGACACTTCCAACATATTAATGTAGAAAGCATAATCATACATTAGTTATGACAAAAAGACACAAAACAACATTTCGGATACATTTTCAGATACAAAAAAGAGGGAGAAAAGCAACATTTGTAATATATGTATACTATACTGTGTTATGCCATGTTTTATCAAACATGGACGAGCCAAAACAAGTGTTGAACGTTTACAAAGAACTGTTTCATTAGCTTGGTTTTATATTCATAGCAGAAAAGACATTAATTTTAAATAAGCTGTGGACAATTATATAATATTACAATTCCATCACAAATATTTAAAAGATTGGCAGGTTATATTCTACTTTGATGTGTTTCATTTCAGATGTGCAATAATACTACGGGATATTTGTGAGATTTGTGGTATATTTGTTCATTTGTATTTTTTCTATTATATATATAGTTTGTATATGTTGATGAGTTAATTTATTTCTAAAGATATTTATATATATATATATAAATATATATATATATATATAAATCTGCACTTATTTACTAATAATTTTTTCAGAACAACCTCTATAAGAATACAATTTGATATGAATAGATTTTATGTTGCATAAATACATAGTATAATACACATTAATTTTGTACTATTCTTGAAAGCAGATTGATCTAGTTGAAGGCTAGTGTTCCATAATGGCTACAATTCATGTTTGTATAAGCACCATACATATTTACATTGATCAACACCCTGTTGTACATTATAGTGCCCCTATTATGGGTAATGAAGGGTTCATATTTTGGTTTTGGGAGTCCCCAACAACAGGTTGACATGCATGCAAGATCAAAAAACACTTTCATTGTCTTATAATATGCATTTATTTTTACCTTACTTGCTCAAGGACTCCCAAACGATTCGCTCAACGATTCATTTTTCCAAACCCCTCCTTTGCGTGACGCTAATCTGCGGTGATTGGTCAGATTGGTCTCATTTTCATTTCATCATGAGCCTGTAATGCCTGATAAAGCAGTGTTTGTGAGCGCAGTGCAGCTTTGTGTACAGTGTTACCAGGGAAACTGCTATTTTTACCGCTCCAAAAGCGGCACCTAGTGGCAAAGAATGAATTTGCATTTCATTCAGACCAACGCTAAAAGACCAACAAGTGGGCGGGCAATATGCTAATGTTTCATGTTGACATGAAACGGCTTGGGATTCGTTTTAAAAACGACTAGTTTCAGTGATTCAGAGTTGATTCTTTCTTTTGAGAGACAATAACTTTATACACGGTGCACTTTCAGATTTAAAACTTTGCAGGATGTTTTCATTCACTTAGAGCTTTGTTACACACTGCATGAAAATGTAATTTTCAAAAAATCCATAATAGGGGCACTTTAAACTTCAATGATTATTCATCTTAGCAGTTGTGTGAATCACTCCAGAGAAGAATACTATACTGCCACCTGCTGGAACAAAGTCATTAGCTCACTACAGAACAGGAAAATTACAGTCATACATTCTATCAGTCTGTTCCCTTTCATAAGGCAAAGACACACATATATGTTTCAAACCCAGTTCTGATGCCGGACACTGAACTTTAGCAGGGAGAGGAGGACACCAGGTCGTAGTCAGGGCACTTGAGCAGGGCAGGGTAGCTGGCATTCATCTGGAGCGAGGTGTCGCTGGAGATGTCTGACGGGCTGCGTCCTCGCGTCCTGGCGTCGGGGTGAAGGAACTGACCCGAGTAATCAGAGCAGTTGCTCAAGCGCGGCCGGTAGAAGCTGGGGTGAGGCTGGTAGATTTCCTCCGCTGTGTAACGCTTCATGAACAGGTAGACGGACATCACACCTGCACTCTGAACAGAGAGAAGAAAACATTTCCTGAAGGAAATACCAGGCAACAACAGACAAGATCTAGAGAAAAAGCTTTGATTATGACAAATGATGACCGCTGATTTATATAAAAAGGTACAAATATACAGTGGTGGCCCAAATGATTAGAACACTAGTATTTTCACCAGCTAAAAAATGGTTTTAAGTCAGTCATTTCGATCTTTTGCTGTAGTGTGTCAGTAGGAAATATCAGTTTACATTTCCAAACATTAATTTTGGCATTAATTGTAATAATCCAGTGAGCTCCACACAGAGATCTGATCTGATCATCATCCAGTCTGTCTGGAATGACATGAAGAAACAGAACAAACTGAGACAGACTTAATCCAGAAGAACTGTGGCAACATCTCCAAGATGCTTCAAGAAACCTACCTATCAGTTATATTTGACACTACAGCAACAGATAGAAATAATTGACTTAAAACTTTAGCTGGTGAAAATACTAGTGTTCTAATAATTTTGGCCACCACTGTATCTAGAAACATTGTACACCAAAATATAGATTGAAGGAGAGAGAGACTAATATCTATATGCAATAAAAGTGGTAAATAAAAAAAAAGGCAAGTAGTTCACCATGGGATGCCAAGTGCCATTTGACCTTGACATAAAAATTATTGCAGATAGGCTCACAGAACAGTGATTTTAAAAGGTTTAAAAGGAAAACAGTGAAAATACAATAGTGAAAGCAAACAAGAGAGCTAACAAGAGTACTGTAGGTTGTCGCTTTACTCCAAAGAGCGCAATGCACTGAGCAATGCTGACGTACGTCAAGTAAAAATCCATAACTGTTTAGGTCAGTGGGAGATTTTCAAACTTTATAGGAATGTTGCATTTGCAATACATAAGTTTAGATCTATCAACCAAGATTCAGAACTTACAGTATGATAAAACAGTAAAGTGAAGCAGTAGGCATTATTCCACAATAAATGTTTCAAACAGTAGTATAGGTGTGCATCATTCCAAGTTTAAGGATGTGAAAAGCTAAAACGTCCTAGGTTGTCATCTAGTAATTATGATAATTATGAAATGGCATGCTGCATTGTTGTCGCATGACCTAATTTAGTTTGTCACATGACCTCATCATATTTCATACTTAAAGCAGCATGTGGCTTTTAATCATTATCTTGGAAATAAAAATTGTTATTTTGCCATTTTTTTTCCAGTTTTGTGCTATCTTTAGTTCAGTCTTCAGTTTAATTAACCCTTGAGAAAAAAGTATAACTGAACAAAATAAACTAGAATTGAAAAGAATATACTGTACTGTACAAAATGTAATGTTTTCAGATTCTTAATTGAATGTTATTTGCACATAAATGAAAATGTATAATAGTTTACATTTATATTAAATACAATTAGTTGAACTTAGCTGAGTGCTTGATGTTTAGGTAGTTTCATAATTACTTTATTGCATTTTAAATATGATTATACTGCCGAATGTACTGGCAAGCATTTATGGTACACTAAAATTTAAAATAATTTCTATTGAAACTTGTATGTCAAGTATTCAAGCATTTAAATACATTTTTCATTAAATGTATTAAGGTTATTAAGTTAGTATATTATATATATACAGAGTTCTGGCATGAAACTCTAGATGGCGCAGTCTGATAGGTCTAACTCAATCTGACCTAATGACATCATTATCACATGGCACAGCTGATTGGTTCTCTCCTGTATCGGTAGCCAATGAGCTCGCTGCTCAACATTGAAATATATGACTAGTGCTTGCCATAGCAGTGCAGCTTGCTTCAGAAACCCTCCACCTTCCCCAGCTCCACCTGTATAGATCTGCTACGAGGTGATTCATGTATGCTATATGGGGGTTATTCCATGTATGTTATATTTGCAGCAGCAATATTTCTTACATGCTCACAGCAGCATGTTGTGGATGTATTGGCAGTAGCAAGTCACGGTACTTGCTCTGCCGCAGCAGCAGCAGCGTAGCAGATCTATTCACCAAGACCAAATACATTAACATTGTCATGTGCATTACCATGCCAATCCCTCCGAGTGTTTTCATGACAGAAATATATATATATATATATATATATACAGTATATGGGGGAAAAGCCTTATAAGCCTATCAAAGACATTTAAAATTGTTACTGCGTGTGAACTACTTACAGTTCATTCATCAAACTGAAATTGGAGGTTCAGTGTTCAGTATTTAAGTAAGTATGCTCTGTTGCATACTGCTCATTTTGACAAATGCACTCATCTGTATGTTCTGCTCAATGCATACTGTATTTACAGTACCACAGCAACAGAAAGAGCAGTACTGAACACAGTCACTGCATATTTTATGTCAAAATTAGGAAGATTAAATTATAGCATGTGGTGATCTTTAGCATTTCACAAATAGAGGTAAAATTGTACTGAACTCTTTGACATTCCTTTCATCTTACATTCCTTTAAAGTCAGACTTAAATTATGCACAAAACAACGTTTGAATGGAGTCAGTACATTAAACATTCAGGCTGAATTAACTACAGAGAAGTTCAATTATGTGCGAATGCCCTAATAATGGAGAAAAGTGAAAGAAGAATGACAGTAGATGGTAGTGTCTGAATGAAAGAGCTTTTTACCTCAGTGAGCAAGAAGGAAATGGCAGCGAACGCAAATGACCAGCCGTACTTATAGCTGAAATACGCCTCATTACTCTTGGTCCTGCTGAACATCTCGTCATTTATGCTGGAGATGTAGAGCACCAAACCAACCACCAGAGACAGACCTGAGAGAGAGACAAACATCAGTCTGACAAATGAGATGTGTCAGAGGAGGAAGTGGAAGAGGGAGCGTACCTGACAGGATGAAGAAGATTCCAGAGACAAACGCCAGTATGGTGCGATGGGGCCGAATGTGTCCGATATTGTTGAGCACAAAACCAATGAACATAAAGAACAAACTGACCAGGGGGAACGGTGTGGCCGAACGAATCATCTCTGAAAAGATATAAGAAAGAGCATTTGATAGTAAGTGTGCAATTGTGAGTATAAATGCCTGTTCACACCGAGAACGATAACTACACTGTAAAACCTAACAAATATTCTAACTAATGTGGTTTAGTCAACTTTACTGTCCAACTTAATTGTAAAAATCTAGTAATTTACACACTATGCCTTTGTTACTCAGAAAACCCGAGTTAAGATAAATTGTTTTCCATTATGTTGATCTTAAAGTGCCCCTATTATGCCATTTCCAATATTGCCTTTCATGCAGTGTGTAATGTAGCTGTATGTGAATGTAAATGATCTGCAAAGTTGTAAAGCTGAAAGTGCACGGTAAATAAAGTTATTGTCTCCCAAAATAAAGAATCGACTCTGAACAGCTGAAACGAGTCGTTAGTAATTCGAATCC